AGCTGGGGGCCCACAGTTTTCTAGCTGATAGCTCTTCCTGAGGTAAATGAGTTTTGCCTTTGGTAGGATGGAATCCTTCTCGCCACAAAGGAGGCCGTGTCTCAGATATCAACTGCAACAAGGAACAGAATGGAGCATGAATGAAGGAGACAGCACTTGCCACCTGCCTGCTTATGTGAGTAAATCCTGCGGGGCTGAGCAGAGAGATGTGGGGCAAGAGCTCACTGCACACCCTCAGGGCAGATGAAGCGAGCTAAGGCTGTGCAGCAGCTTGGTCAGCACTGTGCAGGATTAAACCCCAGGCACGGATGCAGTCTGAGCACGACTCAATGAAACCTCTCTGGTCAGAAGCAAACAGCAGTGATAAGGGCTGCTCAGGTCTTCCTTCTCTGCTATCAGTAGAGGCAATGTGATTCATTGGTGCTAAAAATGGAAGCCTGCAAAACAGTCTTTTCAGCCAAGAGGAAAGCAGGTGCCCTCTTCCCTAGCAGCAGGGAAAGCTCCGGCAGTGCAGCCACAGGGGCATGGAGCTCAGCTGCTCAGTGCTTTTGGAGGAGGGGGAAGGAAGAATGTGAGAGGAAGGAGCCAGCTGTTCCATGAAGGGTGAGCAGGAGATGCTGTTGTGCAAAGGCCTGACTTCTGGGAAAATTCATAAGACAACAGATTTGCAGTAGCCATGCAAAGGTTGAATTTTAGCCCCCAGTGCACTGTGGATCCCTGTGGTGTCTGGGATGTGCCAGAGCCTGCAAGGCTTATATGCAAAGCAAACAGACAAAGAGAAGGGAAGACTCATTATCCTCACTACTGAGGCAAGAATGCAGGGAGAGAATTAAATATCTCTTTCAGCATCACACAAGCTACCTCTGGCGGCTTGCTGTGCCCTTGGTAAGCTGGCTCTGTTGGGAGCTCAAGGGCTGAGGCTGCCACACATGGATGCTGCCCTCTGGCTGCACAGGCACCTGCACTCCCCAGCCCATGGCGTGAGATGTGGAGCTGCAGCTCTGATCCCTCGTGGTTCAACTCTGCCTCTGAATCAGCGCCATCTCCTCCATCACCTTTCATCGCTGGAAGTCACCACTGGCTTAGGAGGGAAAGCTCCATGAATCAAGGCATGGGCAAAGAGTCTCCAGTCTCCAGCAGAAACACAACCAACCGCTCTCTTCCACAGGCAGGATGATCTCATGATGACTTTTCTGGTCAGGAGCACATCATAGCTGCAGCAGGTTGGGGCTGTACGGGGAGAGGATGCTGGTAATGAAATACTTTCATAGTTCAACACTCATTATCCCATTACAATATCATGCTCTTCCCTAACGTCCTTCTAAGGAGCCAAGGCTGAGTTTTTTTCCTGCAGACTCAGACCATTAACAAGTCACATTTACTAAAATTCTCACTCCCTCCCTGCTCAGGGGAAGCACGATTGTGTTCATTTGCACTGCGTAGAAGTGGAAGAGCTGCAGCAGCTCATCTGTGATGCTGTCACCCTGTTAGCTCACACCAAACACTGCCTCATGTCTGTTGGGGACTAGCAAAGGCTGTTTCCCTGTAAGAATAACACTTTTCCCTAGATTGCTTGATTCTTTGATATTCCTTCCCATCCTCAGACCAACTCCTGGTCTTCTCAGACCTGCAATTCAAAGTGCACACCCCTGGTGGCAAAAGATTCTACCCACAGCTGGCTATGCAGAGTGAAGGCAGCAGCCATCCTGATAGTAAAGTCTGGAAAAACTCAGCTCAGTGCCAGATGAGCTGATGCTCTGGGCATGCCCAGTGGCAGGACATCTGTATTGCCAGCAGAAACACTTGGATAGACACCACAGGTTGTGGCAAAGCTTGGGGCCATCATCTGTCCCCCCATCTCCCCACAGACAACTATTTCAGTCAAAATGTGGATGGCAGTGAATGGGAGAAATGGAGGCATGAAAGTTCTTGCTTTGGCATTTAGTAAGTGGTCACAGCAGTGTTCAAAATATATGCCAGGAACACTTCATACAGAGAGGGAGAAAGAGACCCTGACATAAGGAGCATGCCATTTAGAAAAGCAGACAGTCAGAAGGTGAGAAAAGGGAAAGCCTTTATAACGCCAGTAGGCATACGGAGTTGGCTGTATGCTTTTGAAGCCATTATGTGCAAGAAGCTGCTAAGCACATCAATGGTTTCTGATAGCTAAATAAGATTCAAGTGAGGTCTCACACATGCACATGTGCAGGCATACATGCACAAAAGGTGTAGGTAAAGCACTTCCATCTTCACAGCAAGGCAGATTTCCTCCTTTTCTGTTGTGTTTTCTTACAAGATTCCTTTACACTGGTCAGAGAAAAGGAGGCTGAGGATGAAACAAGTCATTCCACGCACTGAACAAAACCATGTATTTCAGTTTTATGCCATGGTTTCTGCTTCATTTAGCTGAGCTCGTTCCCTTTGGGAGTTCTCTAAAGAAACACCGTTTGCAGAGGCTGATGAGGGGCTTCCAAACTGGGGTCACTGCTGGGTCCTCCTGTCTGTCCCTCTGTTGGAGGGTGTTTGTGCATCACTGTGTGTTCCTCATCACTTCTCAGCTCCCCATTTTCACAATTAGAAATCCGATGTTCAGACTTGCAACGCTTCATCAAACTCGCTTTCAAGTCGCCAGCAGATTCAAAGGTTGATGGGGACAGATGGGTAGACGAGAAGTGACAGACTCTTCATTTCCTTAGGAAGCCTAGCTGAAAATACATGTTCTGAGCTCAGCTTTTTTCCACGAAGATGCACACTGTCCTGGGTGTCCCAGTGAGGTCAGTGGACTCAGGTGGTGGCAGCCCTGCACCTCTGCCCTCTGCCGCTGCCCTCCTCACCAAAAGCCATAGGGCCGCCTCATCTCCTCACAGCCTCTGCCGTGGGCCTTTGCTTTGGACCTGGAGCCTGCCAGGGAGGATGACTGCAGCACCTTTTCACCATCTTGCCAGTAACAACAAATCAATTTTCACCAACCATGAACACCGTGCACCCCTGCGGCCTGGAGGCTTGCAGTCCAGGCGAGGGCAGTGCAGGAGGCCCGAGGTGGCCTTGCGACCTGATGTGCAGGGAGCTGCCCCAGGCAGCCCCAGTGCATCCACCCTGCTGAGCCTCGGGGTTCCCAACCTGTCTGGGGCTGGCTGGCAACTCTCCTGTCAGACCCGTGCTGGCAGGAGTTTAAACTGAGGAAGTTCAGGCTGTGAAATTTAAGGGGGAGAAGACAGAAAAAGAAAAAAAAAACCAAAAACAAAACCATGTATTTTGCTTTTAGCACCTTTCTTCTCATTTTCTCCTGAAGTGCCAGCACCTTAAATAAAAAGCCTTTTGTTGCCTCGCTGCTCTTAACACCCAGTCACAAACAAGGGAAATCTTCAGCTAGCAAGCTTTACCCTGAAGGGTATCACCTCTGTGTGCAGCCCTTTATTCTCCTTCCTCTCATTTCCCCTTTGCTGTCACATCCTCTCCTACCAGCTCAGAAAATGCTTGCCTTTTGCTCAAAGGGATCAGAAGAGGATGAGGGCAAACCCTGTTCTTGAGACCTGCTGCTCAGCTTCCACTCCACCAAGAGGACGACTGGAGGAATCACATCACTAATTTCCTATTTCATGTGGGTTATTTTTAAAGCTGCAAACCATACCAAGAGATCACAAGGCCCCTTTGTCCCTACTTCCTTGCGCATCTATGAGGAATATGGGCTAAAAGGAGACTTCCTGCAAACTGAGCTTTCTGGAGAGCCAGGCTGGCAGATCATTCTACCTAAGCAGCAAACGCAAAACCAGGGGCACTTGTGCCATATATATATGTATATATATATTGTCTGTGTGTGTCCTGGATAAGCTCTGTCATCACAGCAGAACACTGCAAATATGCAGCACAAGATGTGATTTATAGGGAAATCTCTGATGTCTTATTGCTCCTCACATACTGGAAGACTTGCCCTGCTCTCTAAGAGCCCTCATGGCCTGGTTTCCCCTTTGTTTCTCCTAAAACTGGCTGCAAATATAATCTGTGGTGCATTTTTCCATAGGAAAATGTTCATAAGCAAATTTGTCCAGAGGAGGGTCATGGAACTTGAATGGGGAAGGGATGAGATTTACAGGCACTTATGCCATCAGAGGTAGGATATTATCCTCCAAATTCCTATTTTATTCTTTCTTTATGGATTCGGGAGTGTTCCGTGTTTCTAAAGACTCTTCCTATGTTGTCCCTTTGCCCACTTTATTGAAGAATGTAACTGGTCACATATATATTTCTATTATATTTGCATCAGTAATACTGAATTATGGAAGTACATGCAAATTTGCGTATTAAAACAGAAAGGGATTTCAATTACTTGGATGAATACAAAGCTGGAAGTTGCTGGGCCAGCACAGAAGGCAATGTCTAGTAACCTTTCCCGAGTTCATACTAAATGCAGCACCTCTCTGCCTTGGCTCTCTCTCACATATTAATTTGCACGTACACACACGCACATGACTTACAACTCCCTTGATCACTTAATGGGACCCACTTTACTTTAAGAGGTGGATTACTGTTTTAGCCATTTGGCTGAGAGTGCCAAAGAGTTCACAGGCTCATCTGTGCTATTCTGGAAAAAATTTCCTGGCCAAAATGAGCATTAAGTATAGGAATGGAATTGATGAAAATGATCAACATGGATATGGATGCTTTTTTCTATACCCAGAGAGGAAACCATCATGAGTGGTTCTATCAGGTGTGCAATGTACTCATAAAATGTTCCAGATCTATCTGCATACATTTACAGAAGAAAAAAAAAGAAAGTACCTTAAATTTGTCAGCATTTATTTTACCAGCTAGACAAATGGTGGTCTACTGTTGGATCAGACTGTGGATCAAAGCTGGAGACGGGAATTGTTTTGATACATGTTCAAGTGGCTCTGTGCAGATGTAACAGAACTAAGTATAACTGGGCACAGATGACAGGCAATAACAGCCTGAAAATCTGCCCTTCTGCTCTTCATGAATGTATTTCCATTTACTTTCAGGAGCTGAGGATCAGACCTCTGATCTCTTAAACATACGTGGGTCAGAACTCCTCTGCAGTTTTGCTTTTCTCGGTGCAGTGCCAGGAGCTGCTGCCTGTCAAGAAGAAAATGACGGCTTCCCAGTCGCAAGCAAGTCCATCCAGGATGTCACCCAGAAGCAGAGGATGAGCCCAGGAGATGCTGGATCACTGTCACAGAGCTCAACTTTGTTGCATCTCCAGCATCCCCCAGGGCCTGCGCAGGGACTAGTGTGTGTCATGAGATTCCAGCCATGTCATCCCTGCTGAGAGTTCTCCCCACTCTCACAGGAAGCATCTGACCATTTCTGGTTCTCAACATGCCTGCAAGTGGTGATGGAATCATGTCAAATAGCCAGGATCTAGAATAGAACCTTGTGATTGAAACAGGGTTTTCTTGAACTATTCAAATCTTTCTCAGGAAATAATGTATGAGAACAATCTGCTTCAGAATAATCCATCACTGACTGTGAGATTCCAGTACAATTTGGTTGCTACATTGCATATATTTTTATTCTCTGTTTGTTCAATGAGTGTTGCACTTATAATGATGAGATTACTGGTAGTACCAAACAGATTTTCAGAATGATGAGAAGATAATTAGATGATATCCTGAGGGTGATTTCTGTTTAAGACACAGCAACTATGACATGGAGTATATGAATGTGGAGAAGGAAGATAACAGTGCTTATTAACCTAAGATACAATGATTCCCAAATTACCAGGAAATATGTTTCATTGAGGTGAACGACATGGTGATTGATGTTTGGCCCAAGCTGGCCCATCTGTTGCGAGGCACGACTCAGCTAAGCTCAGAGGAACTTGATGATCTCCCGAGGTGCCATCCAACCCCTTCAATTCTGTGATTCTCTGACCTGATGTTTGCTGCAGCCACAATGCCAGCTTCAGCATAAACTGTGAGGTTTTGACAAGCCCAAGTGATTGAACTGCACACCCAGAAGGCTGCTGGCTTCCAAGAGCTCTGCTTGTTCAGCTCCCATCACCTGTGAGTGACCAGCAACAAAAGCCTGACAGCATAGCGGTGGCAGGGATGCTCACTACAAAATCAGAGATTGAAGACCCTACCTACCTTTCTAAATCAATCCTTAGTGACATTCCAGGATTACAGTAAGGAAACTGCTGCTGCTGCATGGATCTGTGGCTCCAAGTGGGACAAGTGGCCACATAGCCATGAACCCACAGACTTGGTGGATGCCCACCCCTCCTGGGGACACATCAGGCACATTTTTCCCTTCCTCTCTGCTCTCTTGGCTTTGCCAGAAGACTCACCGTGACAGAGGTGGCAACCTCAAGTGAATACACAGCTGCTGCTATCCCACTGCTCTCGTAAAGTGCTGGCAACCCCTGTACATCCACACACACAGATGCACAGCTCTGGGATGTGTCCTTTGCCAGCCAAATGGAGCACCAAAATCGCCCGTGTACACATGGTGAGTCTCAGCAGTGCCTTTAAGGGCTTGTGGAAGATTTTCCTGGCTTATGGTTGGGACTTTTCAGTCCCTGCAGGACTTCCACACACCCATTTCGATTGTAACCAATAACGAGGTTTTCTACATAAGGCTTATTTCTAACAACACATTCACTTCTATATAACTATTAGAGGATTACGTGTCCTATTTTCTTCCAGACAGGCTATTTGATCTTTGACTGCTGCTGGGACATCTAAGAAAATGGTGCTGTCCTTTTTTTTTTCTTTTTTCTTTTATCTATCCTCTATATTCCTTCTCTTGGCAATCTGATTTTCTAAATGAATGCTCCCAGCCTTAGATGGGGTAGCATGGGTATGCAAAGTGATGGGTTTTGTGTAAAACCATGTGGAACAGCTGCTTCCTCTCAGTACTGTGCCACTTTACAGAGGACTCTCTGGCTATATAACTGGTGCTTCACTCAAACAACCACATACTTAGGAGCAAGAAGATGTCTTCTAGGTATCTTTGGGAAACCAACTGGAAGAACAGTGGTTAAAGGTAGGAAAGATTTATCTTTTGAACCATGTTCACTTGAATGACAGGGCGTATTGCAAAATAGATACTGCTGTATTATACACTACATTTTACGTAGTCATATATGAAAATAACAGACAAAAAGATTTTCATATTTTCAGAGGTACTTATTTGCAGTGCATTGTCATAATAGCTAGCATTATTAGTTTAAGTAAAAATGCATGCAAAATTGATGAGATGGTATGGAAGCAGACACATTTTCAATATATTTCTTTTTTGAAACAATCCTGTCTGTACCCAAAGTTAATGCTGAAGCCATTTTTGTTAGGGTGTTATGTTGTGTAATATTTCTTGTTTATGTAGAGCTCCTGTTCATTATGTGCTTTGGCTTGGAATTCAGAGACGCGTATAATCTAGGCTGGAGTGCATGATCTGCGGAGGTCTCTCCCAACCACTACTATTCCAGGATTCTAAGAAAAGTTTTTATGATTTATTAATTAAAGAGAAGTGTAACCCTGCTAGTTCCGCCGAGGCGGTGGCCTCTTGCAGGGCAGCTGTGGGTCCAGGTCACTGTCGGTGCTCCTCTTCGGGGGCTGCCGGGCCCTCTCAGGACAGTGGCCAGGAGCGGAGGGGCTGCTGCTCCGGGCAGAGGGACCTGCTGCTGCCTCCTGCTCCGTCTCCTCGCGGGGCCGCTCCGCTTCCCTCGCCGTGTGTGCAGCGGGGCCGTGACTGGGACCCGCACGATCGTCAGCCCCTGCTGTGCTGGGCTGCTCCTCTCTGCTGGATGTCGCGGTGCTGCCAGAGAGTGCGGGCACTGATGTCACCTGTGGGGAGGCTGTGGGGCCAGGGGTGGCCGCAGGGCTGTCCTCCTGCCCCCTGACTGCAGGGCCCTCCTCCTGCGCCCCAGACACGTGGTCTCCACGTGGGCCCCTCCCCATCAATCCCTTTCTTGTTCTCGTGTTTTCTGGCAGCTCTGAGCCCTGGCCTGTGCCTTCTCAGAGGCCTGATAGATGCTTTTGTCTCTCTTTGTTGTTTTCCATATACCAAGAAGAGCTCTGAAAACAGTTTATTCCATGGAATTGAACATCTATGATTCTGTGGTTCTGATTCCGTGTGATGCAGTCCATTGTACTCCTTGTGGCTTTGATCATACAGTAGACATTATCACAATTTGTGTTACCTGCTGCAGTTTGTAAAATTCCATACACTCTGTCTCCTCTCTTCTCTGACTTTGGATTCTCTACATATCTGCAGTGTCATTGCACTGCCTACACACTGTAGGACTCCCTCTCAGCCAGGTGATTTCTGTTGCTTGGCTAAGATTATATTCTCCATTAATTCTTAATTGTGAATCTTCTGCTTGTGGTTTAACTCCTCTATTTGTTCTCTCATAGTGTTTCCTTAATTTACTTTATTCCAGGTACCTTATGGTATTCAGTGCTTAAATTACTTTCTCCATCTGTTCTTAAAACAGGAAAGCAAGAAATCAAAGTAAGCGAAGATATCATGTAAATGGAGTCAGCAACGCCTGTGCATTTGGAAAGGCTAGTCACTGGTTCAAGATGCTTGCATTTAATATGAAATACAAGACTGTTCTAATCCAGCCTTGTCAAGTCCCAGAGTCTTACACTGCCTTCATCTTTGCCACAGATTCTGAAAACAGCATATTAAGTGGAAAGTATCTCTGAACAACAAGAAAAGCCAAGTCAGCCTTTCAAATGACCAGACCATGATGTGATGTGAATTAAAAAAAAAAACAAACCCACTACTCTGTTTGTAATAGAAGAAACTATGGAATTCAAAAGCAGTGTCTGAGTCCTGTCTCATAATTAGCACGAAAATTAACAACATGAGAATAACAACAGCTATTTTTAAAACATATCGCTTAGCTACTTTCTGAAACATAAAATGCAATGCAAAACTGTGCAGAACACAAACTAGCCACAGAGCTTGTTGAAATACTCTTGCAGGGAATGCTACAGAGTTTAGACAGAATCCCTTTGGATGAACTCAGATGTCCTCCACAACCTAAGGAAACTGTATATATGATAGGATAGGCAGATCTGTAACTCCAGCAAATTTTTTGATAGTCAGAGTGAAAAGATGGCCTTTGAGATATTTGAAAACTATGAGATAACTAAAAAGCGAGATACTACACCAATCTGTAGTAACTCAGCAGGATTACACTCTTCCTAAGTGACTATATTTTGTGCTCCAAAATCCAAATCAGACTAATTGTCTAGCTTCTGTGGTGGCAAAGTTATCTGGTCAGTGAAGATGAATGGGAGTGGTTCTTCATTAGTGATGAATCTTCTCATCCAGCCTTCGACTGCCACCGATGCTGCAGACCCCAACTCCACCTAAGGACAAGCATAAAACAATACGTTGTCACAGGGCACTGGTACTGACTTTGGAAGAAGTGGAATTTTGAGTATACACAGCAGTGTTCCAGGTAGATGGTTTAACATGTCAGCCAGATGTGTGCAGTGATGCACACAACTGAGTCAAAACAAAATGAAAATAGAAGCATTTAGTAGGAAACCAACTGGGAATCTCTTCTCCCTTCAAAATGTGTCTGTTGCTCTTTGATTACAATTGCCCAAGGCCCATTCCATCTGGTCCATAGATTAGAATGTCATTGCCTCAGTAAAAAATGAATCATTGCTGCAGATGTATTGGTAATTTTCTGGAGTTTTTCTGCATCTAATATCATCTGGCTTTGGATGCAACCAGGATAGTATACAGCAGTATCAGAATTTTCAGGCAGCTGATATCTTAGTGAAGCCATAGGTATGTAGTACGTAACAGTAGCATGAAAGCCTTGGTTTCCTACCCATTCTCTTATCCAGCTGTACAACAAATGGAGAGAATACAAATTTATTTATTTACTGTCATTAAACAATGAACGTTAATCTCTGCTGGAAGCAAATTACCTGTGTGAGAATCTGGTGGCTGTAAATCATTCACTCTGAGGTTCTGTTAGTGGCAGTGTCAACACCTGTGGAGTGTTCTTCTGTATTACCAACATGATGGATGCCAGCTTCCACCACCCAAATGGGTGCTGCCTACAGATGCAGGATGAGTGACCTTAGTCTGGACCAGCAGAACTTTATAAGAACAGAATCCCCTACCAGTGATTTAAGTGATGTCCTCAGATTAGCCCTCACTGACATCTTCAATGAAAGCAAGTAGTTTATCAAACACAGAAGTTGCTATGGGTTTTTATGCATTGGGTTTTGTGCTGCTGAGTGAAGGGATTGATCCCAGCCTGGGACACTGTCCTTGTTCTCTCATTCAAAGCAGACCTGAGGGAGAACCAACCCAGCTGGTGCTGGCGATGGGACACGATGGGGAGCCAATATTTCTGGCCAGCTCCAAGATCACAAGCCTATAGAAATTTTTTTTCAGTTGCCCTGCTACACTTAAAGCTTGGAGCCAGGACTGCTCACTCTAATGCCTCAGTGGCACCTGCATTTACTGAATCCAAATAGGTTGGGAGAAGGTGCAGAGCCTGAAATGTCTCTGCTAAAGGAACAACCTCCTGAGAAGACTGCCATAGAGAAATTTAATGGGTTTCTGCGACTGTTCAAAAGCTGTGAATATCTCCATTCATTCCCTTGGAAAAAAGGTTAATAAACTCTAAGAACTGGGGAATATTTCTGTATAATAGTCCAGCCATGGGAAGAGGGGGCAGGGCAAAAAAGCAGTGTTTTTTTTGCTGTAGAAATACGCTGGACACGCTCCTGAATTTTGATCTAGGGAGGGTGAAGCTCATATTGTGTTCTGCTTACTGAATAGAAAAGGAAAAGTGGAGGGAAGGAAATGTAGGGATTATTCTCACGTAGAGTGTTTCTGAATTACCCAACCAAAAACTCTGTCAGTGTAATTCAGACCTTTCTCCACACCAGTGGAGCAGGCACTGACTGCAGACATGACTGCCCCGGGGGCTTGCACCTTTGGGCAGAGCTGAAAATGAGGGCGAAAGAATCCATCATGAACTTTTTCTGCTATCACAGATACAAAATTTCTCTGGTTAGCTTCAGTGGCTGCAATACACCCTGTTCTTATACAGAACAGCAGCCAGGGTGGAATGGAGAGGGACCTAAGACACGGAGTGGAAGAAAGGCTGCAGATGCTGGGGCCATGAGCACAAGTAAAGAAACACCAACTGGAAGATCCACCAGAGACTTCAGCTAGCATGAGAACCCCTAGACAAGGAAACAGCACTTTCTGCAGCTCAGTCCTGTGAGAGAGACAGGCTTGTGGAGAGAGAAAAGTTGGAGATGTGGGAATAGTGCAGTATGGCTGCACTAGTAAGGCTGCAGCTCCCATCCCACAGTTTGATCTGGAGAGACACTCCAAGGGACCAAGGACAAGGACTCTATCCACTGTAGATCATTGTGGTGCTCAGGGGCTGCAGAATTAAAGCAGAGCTTTAATCTCCCTTGAGAGGCCAGAAGTGTGGAGAGATTTGCAGTCTGGGAATTTTTCATCAGCAGCACAGAAGCTTCAGGTTTCTGTACCAAAAGATATTCCCCCCATACCACTCTTGCCACAGCAGTATCAAAAAGGTGTGTAAAGGGAGGTGCTGGGGACAGACAGAGCTTATCCTTCATGCTACCATCATGTAAAGAAACTCCCCCTGCCTTTGCAGAGTGTTGATGCAGAAATGTACTGGAGACGCAGGATGGGGTCACCCAGCTCAGCCATATGTGGATTATCTGCGGACCATGTGGCTAGAATTAGCTTTCAGGCCGTGAATTTGAATAGAAGACCAGCTGGTGGCTGGGAATAGGACTCTGTTCTCAGCTTCCCTGGAGGTATCAGAAGGTTCAACTCAGAACTACATGCCATGTGATGAAATCAGTGACTTCAACCCTGTTCCCAGAAGAATGATCATGGCAGAAACACAGCAACACAGATGAGTTAGCTGAGGTGAGGACAAGTTGTGCTGAACAGAAAAGGAGAATAAATCATTCTCTGTCCTTGATAATGCTTACGTATGTACAATCATAGGACACTGTCAAGTGGTAGAAAACATCCCTCCTCTACTGTTTCTGCCATGTACTCTAGCTAAGAAGAGAACTTACCTGGTCAAGCATGTGAGTTTTCTAATGTTACAAATATATCCCTGAAGCATGGTCTGGGATGAGGCACAGATTTGTCTTCACAATTAATTTGTGTGGTAATTTTAGGTGATAAATCCCACGTCAGTTGTGGAGCAGCCTTTCAAACACTGAGTTCTTTTTACGCAAACCATCCGGCGTAAGAAATCATAAGAAACCTAAGCACATATTTCAGCCTCCTCCAAGCAGTTTTCTGAAAAAGGTAGCAGTCATTTTACTTGACTTACAAACAAGGACTACAGCATACAACGTAGAGGATGCTCAAAATCAGATCTCTATCCTCTCATTTTTTACTGCACTTATTCTAATACCTACTTCTATCGATTTGACATGCAAAAACTAAGAGAGCTAAAAAGGAAGTATCTGGTACATGTGAGAGCGTGGCAGGTGTGATCTACCTTGAGGGCAATCAAACAGCCACAGCCGAAAACTAGGACATGCATGTTTGCCAGGAGGGATTGCAGAATGGACTCTGCATCCTAAGTAAAGCCAGATAATGGGATAAGCACACAATCTGTTGTTGCTGTCTGCAATGTTTCTTCTAAGGGCAGTTGTCAAAAAGCACCATCTCAAATTTCTAGACCAGTTTCTCAGATAACGTCCCAAAATGGCTGAGGTGGGAAGGGACTTCTGGAGCTCTTCCAGCCTGCTTAAGGCAGGCGTCAAGTCCTTTTCCTGATGATGTAGAAAGACAACAATTGTTTGAGCTAAAATGCCTTGGTTATACTAACACAAATGTGTTTTCATGCATATGAACTCAGGAAAATTTCCATTCCGCCATCTTAGAAACATTCAGGCTCTTCCCATGTTTCAGCATTCTTCTGACTTCACTGAACCTGCACTGGCATACTGAAAAAGGTTTATATAAAAAAATCCAAGCTTTTTTTGGAAGCATTGTTAATAAACATTACAACATTCCAAAGATTTGGTTGTGAAACAAGAAGCTATAACAGATCTCTGTAAATCACTTGTGGCAGCTCATGACAATTACGAATTTGGATGAGATGCACTGAATAGGTAAAGCCAGAATGTTTAAGTGGGAAGAGATGGCTACTGGGCAAGGGTCTGCCTGAACCAGACGTCAAAAGCAACAGTAGGGAAACCAATCTGCAGGTTTGAATCTGCTTTCCTCATCAGTAACAGTAGAGTGGCTTCTGCCCTCTCTTCTGCATCAACATGACTCTTTCAGAACAGACTTTTAAGTACCTCTAGTCCCAAATTTTGCCTCCATCAGTCCACTTTTATTAACACACAGATCCTCTGTAAGCACTAGTCCTTGGCAGAAGGACAGCGTTCTCCAAAAGCAGAGCACATCCTTACACCACTTGTTTAGCCAACAGTCCACTTTGAGTGGTTGCCCCTCTGCACTCCTTTCTCATTTGGTTATCAGCTCATCCCCCTGGTATCTCTGCAGCCATTTGCACTCTCTGCATTTTGCATCCGATGAAGCCAGGCATGAATGCTGCACCAGGCTTTCACCTCTGGCTTCAGAGAATCATAGAATCAGTTGAGTTGGAAGAAACCTTTTAAGGCCATCTGGTCCAACTCCTTTGCAATGAACAGGGACACCAACAGCTAGATCAGATAGCTCAGAGCCCCTCCAGATTGTTCATGAGTGCCTCCAGGAATGGAACATCCCCTGCCTTACTGGGTGTTACTGTGCTAATGCATAA